GGCTCATATGTTTGAATACTTGGTTCCCAGTTAATACAACTGTTTGGGAAGGTATCTTAGGGTTTCTATTGCTGTGAAGAGACACCATGACCACAGTAACTCTTTTAAATAAAAACATTTAATTGGGGTGTCTCCCTCATGGTTTCAAAGGTTCAGTCCATTATCATCATCGTGGGACACGATAGTGTGCAGGCAGACATGGTGCTGGAGAAGTAGCTGAGAGTCCCACATCTCGAAGGCGACAGGGAATGCTCTGTCTCACTGAGAGTGGCTTGAGCATAGGAGACCTTGAAGGCCACTCCCACAGTGATACCCTTACCCCAACAAGGCCACACCTCCTAATAGTGCCATTCCCTTTGGGAGCCATTGTCTTTCAAACTGACACAGAGGGGGATTAAGAGGTGTGTCACTGAGCGTGGGTTCTGAGATTTCAAAGACTCATGATGTTCTCAGTCTCTCTCTCTCTCTCTCTCTCTCTCTCTCTCTCTCTCTCTCTTTGTTGTAACGGTGTGAGACATGGCTGTGTCTCAAGGTGTGAACTCTCAGCCACTGCTCCACTGCCATACCTGCTGGCCTGTTGCCATGCTCTCCACCATCATGGACTCTGACCCTCTGCAACTGTAAGCCCCAAATAATGCTGTCTTCTATAACTTGCCGTGGTCATTGTATCTTATAACTAGATTAGAAAAGTAACTAAGATACTTTCTTTCAGCATCCTATTGGAAAGGATTTCTTTTAAAAATATTAATGTCAGGGGTGGGGTGGCTGGAGAAATGTCGCAGCAGTTAAGAGCACTAACTGTTCTTCTAGAGGACCTGGCTTGAAATCCCAGCACCCACATGGAAGTTTAAAACTATCTGTAACAATGGTTCCTGAGGATCTGGCACCTTCATACCAATGCACATAAAATAAAGTTAAGTAAATTATCAATACACTACACCAAATTCAGAAGTCACCCGTGGGCTGCCTTTGCCTGTAATTCGTTACTGAGTCTCTCTCCCCTCCATATAACTATCCACCCATATCAGGCTGTGAATAGCTTATGAGAAACAAGCCTTGGTTCCTTACAGGAAGAAATAGCTGCCATTTGTTCATTTATTCAGTTAACATTTACTGTGCATTTCTCTGTGTGAGGCCTAGCACTGTGCCTGTAGAGATGTAGCAGTAAGTGTATGAGACCAGGTCCTGTCTTCCTGGACTCATGGAGTCAATCAGAACAATACTACGACAAACATGTATGACAGAAGTGTAGATATTCCTGACACATATGAATGAGAAAGGGGACAGAGTGCTGTAAGATAGAATGATGTACACCTACCTCTGTGACAGCTCTTTTCATTCCATATTGTACTGCCTAACCTCTCTTGCTTTTAAATGGTAGCCACCAACATACTGTGTGTCTGGCACCACTCTCTTCAGAGCCATCTTTCCCGACAGGAGGATCAGCTCCAGGCTTGACTGCATCCCTCTCTCCCAGGGTGGCTTGCTGACTAAGCATGGCATGAGTCATTCTCGCAGTAAGAAACCAAGTTCTGAGAAACTGAGACAACGACCAGGTGACAGAAACATCAAACTCCTGGCGTAAGGGATTTGGAGCATGTAGGGGTGGAAAAAAAGCACTCTGGAGTTCTCAGATAAACCTGATTCAGATAACATACCGGGTGCTAGATGAACAAACAGATAATAAAGGAAATAAAAGTGCATTTTGAGTGATGCTGGCAACAACGACATGTAAATGACTTCAGAAACCCCTTATAATGATAATAATAGCAACATTGTTATAAAACAAAACCTAAATATCTGAATTCTGAATCAAACAGGACATGGAATTTATGTATCCACACTTTCCCGTCTAATTTATGAAAGTCAAGTCTCCATCTGACACAAGATTCATGATCTTAGAAGAAATTCTAAAGTGGCCAGTGAAGGACCTCCCATGTCTTCCTCCTCCTGGGGCCCATCATCTGTAGTCAGCTCTCTGCTCCCAGGCTACATGTCTAGGAAGGTTATTTACCCTCACTCACTCTGCCTGTATCTCAGCACAGGACAGAGAATAGCAGTGGTCTCCTTGAGTCTTTCTGAATGCTTAACACATGATAAGTATTATTTTACCAACTTTTAGCACACAGCTTACTGCTTAGCACAAATGGAGATGGCTAATTGAAGCTTGATTACTTGTTTAACTATGCTTTCATTATTGGAGGCTTCCTCAAGTAGTGAGGATACAACTCCCCAGAGAACCATGCAGTTGGTCTCTGTAACCTCAAAGAGGCTCCCAGTTGCCTGAGACATGTTCCACAGTCTGCAGTCCTGAGAAGTCCAAACAGGAACCTGAGTGGAAAGTGTTGTGCCTGAGTCGTAAGGATCCCCAAAGAGACCAGGGAGACAGACCACTGATGTAAATGCCAAGGTTTATTAAATTGGCTATCGTACCGTGGGAGGGACCCCATCTAGCAAGCTGATGCAACAGCCTCCAGAGGGGGTGAAGTTCCCTGTCTACTGCTAGGTTTTAAAGACAAAAGTTACAAGATTACATCAGTAGGTACGGGTTGGTTTCTGATTGGTTGACATTTTGGGAACAATCAGGAGAATTTCTCAAAGTCATATTTTGGCATGAAATACCTGTGTAACAATTATTCTCATTGGTCAGTGCTGAGAGGGAACATTCTGTGATCTCTATGGCTTTGTCTTGCAGGAAACAAGTTTACAGATACCAATAGTCTTCAGAACTGTATCCTAGAGACTATAGGGGAGGTTTTGGTGTCCCCTGGAGTTTCTTTTGTGGCCAAACAGTTCCCAGGAACCAAGTACCTTGAAGGCTGGGGGGGGGGTGTCCTGGAGTTTCCTTACGTTCAGTTTTGGCCCTAGGCTCCAGGAGGCCAGAGGATCTGGAGTTTCCTTGTGTCAGACTCCTACGTGTCTTTTCTGTAGACTGTCATGGCTGCTAAAGTAGGGGCTGAGTGAGGGTCTGGTTCCTTTATTCCTAGAAGTGAAGCCTTTTAATTTAGTTTACTCCTTTCAGAAAGGAGATCTTTGACTCAGCAGGCCCTATTAATCATCCATCCTCCTAAGCAAAGAGCAAACAAAGCATTGATTCTTAAACCATCTCAATTTAATACTAAGACTTGAAAATATATGTCCTCTGCCAAACTTAGCTAAAAAGGAAAGCTTGGTCAAGCCACTGGTGTTTCATGACCCAACTGCTTGGCACAGAAGAGTCCCTGGCACCGACTTTCCCTAACAAGACACCAACTCAGTGCTAGGTCTCACATCCAAACTCAGAGTTCTGAGGGCTTGAGTCCACTCTATTTTGACTCTTCTAATCTGTTAGTCTGCTTTCTCTCTCCCACATGCAAAATGGCAAACTAGTAACCAATGATGTGTGACCTCTGACTCCTTCCCTGTGTATTCAATGGTGCCCTTAGCTTCACTGATGCATACTACTATAGGGGTCTGGCACCTGAAGCAGAGAAAGACTCAACTAAACTATACCCAACCCACAAAAGGCCAGAGCATGGAATACCAAGGGATTCTCAGAGAAGATGTAAATCCTGCAAGTTTTTCTGCCTGAAAGGATAAAGTTCATTCTAGAAAAAAAATAAAAATTTTGATGACCTCAATTAACAGCTCATCTATGAAACCCAAGGAGAGTTGCTTGGAAAGGAAAATAAGGTTGGATTTTGTCTTGTCCAAAGTATCTTGGCAGTATTTGGGAAGGGAGTTTGCTATTTCCAATTACAATTTTCTTAGCCATCATTCAGAAACAAGGGCTGGGTCAAATGAACACCTGGAAATGAACTTATTGCCTCACAGTTAAGGTCAGGCCTCTGACAGTAAGGTCCACAGCTGTGAGGCCAGATGGAAAAAACATAGGTTATAAAAATAGTCCTGAAAAATAAAAGCTACTTTCTCTCTCTAATCCCAGAATACATTACCCTGATAAATAAGGAAGCCATGCTTATTAACAGAGGCTTAATAAGATTGTCCCCTCAGATACCCTGGAGACACTGCCGCTCTCCTCCCCAGTAGTGAACGGTGGTGGGCAACTTGGGGTCACTTCCTGCCCTCTCCTGAGTGCTGACCACAGCCTGTGGACATGGCTGACCAGGGCACAAAGCCACATGACTCATCTTTCTTCCACCACTTGGATGTGAGGGCATCACCCACGTCTCAGGAAGGCACAGTTCTGGTTCATTTGACCTAACTAATACGGCCCTGGGACAGCATGAAGCTGGGGCTGGAGAATCTGACTTCCTCTCTTACCTGTGGAAAGGGGCTAAAACACAGGCCCATTTAGTCTCAGAATGTTAACTCTGACCTGATTAAGATGACCCAAACTGAGAACCTCCTGGACACAGCAGACAGCAGAAATCTATCCCCTCACACCAGACCTGACCTCAGAGAGAGCAAAGCTCTGGGCACCACCTGTGATTGTGGACACAAGCAACTTCATTGGCTATGCATTTCTTCAGTTTGAGGATGGATATGATTCTGTTCACTGACAGGGGAAAGACACCTGACCTTCTTCATAGTTAGCAGCAGATTCCCACTGAGGGAAGGCAATAACCAGCTTGAGCAACAAACAGCATCATACATTCATTTCAATGCTGTTTTCAGAGCTACCTTTCAATCCTCTACTTTCCTATGCCCCACCCCCTCCTGAATTCTCAGTAATAATCTAGTACAGTTACATGATTGGTGATGGTCTGTGGTCTGAGAAATATGTGGGAAAGTGATTCTTGTCGATGAATAAATCCAATAGGATATATCATGTTTACTTCTAGGTTTACAAACCTAGATTACCTACTACACCCCTAGGCTATTTGGCAAAGTCTGTTGCTCCCAGACTGCAAACCTACATAGACAGTACTGTGCTGAGCATAGGCAACTGTAATGCAATAATAGCTATCTGTGTATCTAAACACAGGAAAGACACAGAAAAAAAAAAAAAAAAAAACAGTGGGCAACAGGAATTTTTCAGCTCTGTTACACTCTTTCAGGTTCACAGTCACATATGAGGTATATTCTTACCCAAAATGTGGCTATGCTACACATAACTATGAGCATAACCACCTTGTGTTCCTCAAGTCTTGGAGAGCAAAGGAAGAGAGGTGGCTCCTGTGGAGAGAGTTAGACAAGAAGGCAGAGCCAGCTGCAGATGCTGAGAGGGAGTCAGCAGTTCAGGCAGACAGAGAGGAGCTGGCCAGTGGGCAGGGCAGCCCCCACCCCCAGGAGACAGACGATGGGGAAGTAAACCAAGATGGGCAGACAGCCTGGGTGCCTTTTTATGGAAAGGGACTTTCCAAGTGGTGGCCATTAAAGCTCAAGTATTTTCTCACGATATCTGTCTGGGTTCGTGATCAATTGTCAACTTGATGAGATCAAGAATCACCTGGAGGGCAGACCTCTGAACAAGCCTATGAGGGATGACCTCAGGGAAGGGCCAAGAGAATCCAAGACAATGCCAAGGAAGAATAAAATGAGATAATTTAGCTCACTAGATTTAAAGATTCATTATAAAGCCACCAAAAAGTGTGATATTTAAAAAAAAAAAAAAAGCAGACAGTAGATCGATGAAAAATGCCTCATGTGACACAGAACAGTAAGAAAAACGGCATTTTTAGCCAGACGAGTGGTGGCTCATGACTTTAATCCCAGCACTCAGGAGGCAAAGGCAGGAGGATCTCTGTGAGTTTGAGACCAGCCTGGTCTACAAGAGTTAGTTCCAGGACATCCTCCAAAGCCACAGAGAAACCCTGCCTCGAAAAACAAAAACAAAAAACAAAACAAACAAAAAAAAAAAAAACAGCATTTTCAGTAAGCTGCCCTTAGAAAAATCAATTCCATATGTATCTCGGATCTTACAGGCAAAATGAAAGGTTCCTAGGAAATAATAGAAGAGAAAATATTCCTGACTTACACAGGTGGAGACCTCTTAAGTAGAACCAAACAGAGTGAGCGTCAAGGGACAAATGGCTAAGTTGAGCCACGTAAAAATAGTAGCCTCTGCCTAGGGAGAGAAGGTGGACTTGGGGACTAGGGTATGAGGATTATGTGTGAGTCCGGCTAAGCTACTGAGTGGGACCTTGTGATCTAAGAGACATTATTGGTAACATTGCCTTTCAGGTAAGATATGTCTCCTGGCAGTTTCTAGTGGAAAATTTTAGGAGATGATATCTAATTCCTAGGGATTTAGCTCTAGACTGAGTGATCTGGGAAAGAAAGAAACAGCCATTATCACTCTAAAAAGATCTTGGGAGGCCAAAGCAAGGGATAATTTTAATGTCCAGAATTGGAGTGTTGCAAGGTAACAGACAGGAAATTAAAAAGCCCATTATAGAGGTATTTACCCATTAAGGACTGAGACCTCAGGCTGGAAAAAAAATATTGTTCATAGTTAGGAAAAGTCCTTTAATCTGATTCTAGCCAGAGTGGCTATGACTCTCCTACCTGTCGTCAGTTCATGGATACATATGAGGACTGAACCACTTTTGTCCTTTTTTAAAATATAGTCTAGCTATTTTGTTCTGTTTTGTTTTCTGTTAGTCCCAATTGCTCTCCTCTTTGCTGTTCTTTGATGAACACATAGGTGACCAAAATCTAACCCTTTATTTTTACCTTTAAGGTCATTTGAGGCACCCTAGTGGTGATATAGGCAGCTCAAGCCCATGGTGCCTTTGGGTTTTCCTTTAAGTAATGGCATCTTCAGGGATGGGCCAGGGCCTTGCTGATGGGTGGTTTCCTTTGGAAGAGCTGAAAGCATATCCTCCGTGAGGAGCCTCCTCTTTGCAGAACGCACACTAGCTAGAAGGCAGCTTCTTGGGTTGCCATGACCTCTCTGATCAAGAGGATAGGTGATTAACTGGAGTTTAGGATTCTTCTAGAAGTGTCCCATCATCCCTTAGGACCTGGCTAAGCTGAGATGAAGGCTAAAATATAGACTTTCTCTTAGTCCCTTATACCAGTGGTTCTCAACCTTCCTAATGCTGTGACCCTTTAATACAGTTAGTTCCTCATGCTATGGTGACCCCAACCACAAAATCATTTTGTTGCTACTCCATAAGTGTAATTTTGCTACTGTTGCCATAATGTAAATATTTGATATGCTACCCCTATGAAAGGAACATCCAACCCCCAGGTTGAACTACTTTATATATTGGCCTCCTAGTAGGCTATAGAGCACACAGGCCAATTATACCAGTCTTAAGGAAGGAACAATGATTCAAATTTTACCTCTTGTATAATGCTTATATAAAGGTTGACAAAAATGGACTTTGAAACAAATCTTGACTCTGTTAAGACTCAAGTAGTTAAAAGCTTGACAAACCCAATAGAAAATATAAGTAATTAACTTGATCAAATATAAAATCCTATTCTCTTGATCAGCTTTCTGCAAATGTGATTAAAATGGGATTGACAGTTTAAGAAAACCTTATTGTTTTACATACAAAATTAGGCTCCAGTTCTACATCGGTGTGCTAAATTTTAGTCTCAGGAATGTTTAATCATGAACTTAATCATATCCATACTATCTTTCTTTTTAAGTTTTACAGCCCTTCATAAGACATATTTACTGACTTGGTTTTGCTCTTATTTCCCTACATTTCCATTTTGAAACAGCCTTTTATATTCAGAACAAAACTATTTTACCATGTAAAGTCCTTTCTCATCCAAAAGTATTTTTCTTGCACCTGAAATACATTTTCATGACTATAACCTTCTATATATCTTTCACACACTTTTGTTTAAATTAATGATGGTGGTGGTGGTGGCGATGATGGTGGTGATGAGGGTAATGGTGGTTGTGTGTGTTGCACTGAGGACAAAGCCCAGAGCCTTGCATTTTATCCCTGAGTTTCATCTCCAAACCCTTGGCTTTCAGAGCCATGACTTAACTCGGTAGCCCAGGATGGCCCTGTATTAGTAGTATTTCTATTGCTGTCATAAGACATGTGATCCAGACAACTTACAGAAGAATTTATTTGGGACTTACAGTTTCAGAATGTTAGAGTCCATGACTATTATGGCAGGAAACATGGCATCAGGCAGCCAGACATGGTGCTGGCTGGGTAGCTGACAGCTCACAAACAGCTCACATCTTGATCCACAAGCAAGAAGCAGAGAAAGGGTGAGTAGGGATGGTGAGAGCTTTTTGAAACCTCATAGTATGCCGACAGTGACACACCTCCTCCAGCAAGACCATGCCTCCTAATCCTTCCCAAACAGTTCCACCAATGTGAAGGGCAAATATTCAAATATATGAGCCTATGGAGATCATTGTCATTCAAGCCACCACAGACTCTTAACTCTTAATCCTACCTTCTCTGCCTATTGAATGCTGGGATTACAAATGGGCTCCTTCACTGACAGCCCTCAATCCAACTTTACTCTTTTCAAACCATCAGTATGATTTTGAAAGAAAGATAGAAAAAGGAAGGAAAGAGGAGAAAGAGAGAAAGAAAGACAAGAGAAAAGAGGAAGGAAAGAGAAATAGAATAATGAAATAGTGAATATACTGTGTGAGAGATGGGCAATGTCCTTGGTTATCAGAAATCCCAAAGTGATGACTCTCTTAAAAATAGCAAGGGGGATGAGAGTTCCACACCAAGACAGACAAAGGCAACACCTCTGGGGCAAGAGACACATTCAGAGGTCAGAGAGAATCAATGTTATGGTGGGGCCAAAGTAGGCTGTAAGATGAGGGAGGGCAGAGTGCTACACAGAGCTTTGTGATGTTGACCTTACAGGATGCCAATCTCAACATGGCAGAAGTAATGACCTGATGCAAGTTAGATGATTCTTTAGGAAGAATGGTCAGGGGGCTTTCTACCACAAAGACGATGCCACCTAGAATGTTGCTGCCAGTGGGATAGTTGGGGCATGGTTCTGGGTATGTTTGGAAAATAGAGCCAACAGGATGTGCAGGCAGGATAGCACGTAAAAGGAAAGGATGCCTTAGGAAAGTGTATGTGTGTGTGAGCTGTATGCTTATGTGTGTGCATGTTCATGTGTGAGTGTATGCAGAGGTCAGAGACAACTTTGGGTGCCGGTCCTCACCTTCCACCTGGGTTGAGACTGGATCTCTTGTTTTACCACTTCACACACCAGCTTAGCTGGTCTCTGAACTTGTAGGCATTCCCCTGTCTCTACATCCTATCTCACACTGAGAGCATCAGGATTGCAGATGTGTGCTACTATGCTCAGCTTTACAGGGGTTCTAGAGACCCAAACTCAGGTCCTCATGCTTGTATGTGAGCACTCTTACCCACTGAGTCATTCATATCTGCAGCCTGTCTCTGGAAAGACATTTCCAACCTGCTGGGTTTCCTGAGAGCTGGGCTCACTGCCCTTGGATGCAGCTAATTCTTGCCAGTGGAAGGAAGCTGCAAGCCCTTCCATGGGGCTATGGAAATGTCCTTTCACCTGCCAAGTAAGTTCCTACAGGGCCAATTTTTGGCAGTTGGGAGCTGTGTTTAGTAAAAACAAAGTCAGTTTCTCTTCTGCTCTCATACAATAATACACAAAGAAAACTGACCCCAAAAGGTGTGAGGTTCTCTCTCCTCAGTAAGCAAGCAATTCTTAAGCAGATTCCAGCTGGGTGTCCACTACTCAATTCCTTTCTGATTCTGTTCTAGTTTGCTTTCTATTGTGGTAAGACACTGACCAAAAGCAACTTGAAGAGGAAAGAGTTCGTTTGGCTTACAGGTTATTGTCTATCATTGAGGAAAACCGAGGCAGGAACTGAAGCAAGTCCCTGGAGGAATGGAATGCTGCTTACTGGCTTTCTCCTTTCTTGTACAGCCCAGGCTAACCTACCTTGAAATGGCACCATCCACAGTGGGCTGGAGCAATTAAGTAAATATCCCAACAGACATGCCTATAGGTCAATATGGTGGACCTATATTGGCAATTCATCAGTTGCTAAGGAGTCTCTCTTCCCAGGTAAGTCTTGGTTTGTATTAAATTAACAAACACTAACCAGTGCAAATTCTATCTACATAGAAATAACATCAGACCCCACAGTTGAGGACTAAGTCCCCAAGGCTAATCCCACAGTAGATGTCAGTCCTAAATCCTAGGCAGGTTCACCTTCACTACTAAGCACTGCTAAGAATCAGGGTTCTCATAATCCCCTCCTTTCATTAAAATTTGCCCCAGCAGCTCACAGAACTCAAGGAAACAATTATGTTTACAAGTGTGTAACAAAGGCTATTATAAAGGCTTCAGACAAAAAGATGCATGTGTGTGCCGTGGGAGAAGGACCACTTCGTTCCTTTGTCCTTTCTAGGTACACAGCCTCTTCCAGAAACCTTCATCCAGGGCTCTCTGAACTCTGACCTTTCAGCTTCCCGTGGAGCCCTCTTACATAGCAGGAT